CACTACTTTTATAGAAATCATTTTCCAGAGTATACTTATTGGTTCATGTGTTTAAACTGCATAATGAATTTAAATACAAACAAAGTTTGAACCTGAGCGTCAGCCATGCCCAGGAGCTATCTTTGGTGTTGGAAATACAGCAGTGACCACTACTGAAAACATTCCTGATCTGAAGTAGAACACACTGAGTACAACTAGCTGGTAGCGTAAGAAAATCACAGGCACGGTGAAGAAGAGAACAGTTGGAAAGAGTGGAAATACTGGAGAGATTTTATGGTGTTTTGAAACTTTAAAACTTTTGAAACTTTCTGAGATAATTTGTTTTAGTGTGTCCTTTCCACATATAACATGATTGTTGCTTTTCAAAAACCAGATCTTAAAATATTTTTCTTCTAATAGTTGAATTTACCCCATTTATTTGTATTGGTTGAAAAAAACATTTTGTAGTCTACATCTTATCATATGTTATATTTATATTGTAATTCTGTTTTATTATATGGTCTGTTCCATCCCTCCTTTTTCTTTGCTCCCTTTCTGGGAAGACTTTGGTATCTCTTACTTTTTCTTTTTTTCCTAAGGGAATGGCAAATAGTGTTCTCACAGGTTTAGGAGCAGTGGAGTCGAATCTAAAAAACTGAGATGAAAGTACATGAACCATGCAGGTTCAGAAATTGACAATGCAACTTATGGTGCAGAGAGATAACTTAAAATGCTGTCAGCTCATCTTGTTAACTTTTTATGTGGATTCTTTGCTCTATGTTAAAGTCTTTCTTTTTGTTCTTTTAAATTGCCTTCATAGATACTTTAAGCCTGTGGCTCTGGTCTGTGGATCCTCTTTCAGAATAATGCTGAAACATCATTTGCCTTTTTCACTGATGGTACAGAAAGCAATGGTGGATAAAACTGATGATGCCTTACCATGAGTCAAGGCAGTGGCACCAAACTGTAATAGTCGTCATGTAATAGTAGTCATATGTTCTTTACTTTAGTAAGAACCAAGCATTTTAGTAAAAAAAAGAAAAAAAAAATTGGTTATACTTAAGGATACCATTGATGAAGCTGTAAAAGTTACTAATTTTATTAAATCGTCACCCTGAGTATTTATCTTTGTAAAATCCTTTTTATGAAATGTGAGTATTTGGAAGGTACTTTTTAGTACATACTGAAGAAGGAAGAGTGTTTTCAGGGGAAGCGCTTCTTGTTTGAATTGCTGGCTACACTAGCTAACTAGCTTCTTATTCTGTGAAATAACTGCTTTTACTAAAAACAACGATCGACTGATACACGTGATTATTCCATCTGAGTTTTAATAGATATTGCCCCATAAATGATCAACATCAGCCTGTCACTTCAGTAAAAACAAGTAACAATATTGTTGCCAGGGATAAAATTAAAAGTTTCTTTCTTTCTTTTTTTTTTTTTTTTTTGAGATGGAGTCTTGCTGTGTTGCCCAGGCTGGAGTGCAGTGGTATGATCTCGACCCATCGCAGCCTCTGCTTCCTGGGTTCAAGTGATTCTCTTGCTTCAGCCTCTTGAGTAGGTGGGATTACAGATGTGAGCCACAATGGCCAGCTAATGTTTGTATTTGTAGCAGTGACGGGGTTTCATCATGTTGGCCAGGCTGGTCTTGAACTCCTGACCTCAAGTGATCCACCCACCGTGGCCTCCCAGAGTGCTGGGATTATAGGCATGAGCCACCGCACCCAGCCTAAATTCCATGTTTCAAACAAAAATTACAGTTGTGGAAAGCTTGTATCTACCACTGTTGACTTAACTGCTTTTCAGTACTTTAAAGACTTTTCTAATGAAAGCAGTGGTGATATTCACAAATATGAGTTTGTCATATTGTGTAATGAAATTACTAATATATGATGTTAGAAAACCGTGATGCATATAAGATTTATTCAGAATGCAAGATGGACCAATGGGTTTGAATGTTAACGGAGTGAAAAATTTGTTATGGTTTCAGATTTTACAGGGCAATTTTACATTAAGAAACTATCTAATTCAGTGAATTTTGATATCAAAGAAAAATATCCATAGTTAATATGAAAAGGTTATTAAATAAAATGTATTCTTCCTTTTTCCAACTGTGTATCTGGAGGAGGCTGAATTTTCTTCTTACACTTTAATTAAAACAACATACGGTAGTCCCCCATGCACAGTTTCAGTTACCCACGGTGGATAGTCATCCTAATACAGGTAAGTGCAGTACAACAAGATGTTTTGTGTGAGAGAGAGTCCACATTCTCATAGATTTTATTACAATATATTGCTATAATTGTTCAATTTTTAAAATAAATTATAGTTGCTAATGTTTTACTGTGCCTAATTTAAAAATTAAACTTTATTGTAGTTATGTGTGTATAGGAAAAAAAGCGAAGTATACTTTTTATAGGGATCTGTACTATCTGTGGTTTGAGGCATCCACTGAGGATCTTAGATGTATCCTCTGCCGAGACTAGAGAGACTGATACTCTGTATCTTAAATAAATAACAAATTTTCTTAGGTTTTTATTTATTTATTTATTTATTTTTTTGAGACTGAGTTTTCACTCTTGTTGCCCAGGCTGGAGTACAGTGGTGCGATCTTGGCTCACTACAACCTCCACCTCCTGATCTCAAGTAAATCTCCTGCCTCAGCCTCCTGAGTAGTTGGGATTACAGGCACACACCACCTAATTTTTTTTTTTTTTTTTTTTTTTTGTATTTTTAGTAGAGACAGGGTTTCACCATGTTGACCAGGGTGGTCTCGAACTCTTAACCTCTGGTGATCTACCCGCCTCAGCCTCCCAAAGTGCTGTGATTGCAGGCGCTAGCCACTGTGCCTGGCCCCAGTTTTATTTTCTAGTAGGGTACATTTCAGTCGACACAACCCACATAAACAGTGCTGCTGCTTGTCTTCCAATAATTTTTAAGAGAATAAAGGGGTTCTGAGACCAGAATGTTTGAGAACCACTGATGTAAGCAGAAGAATGGCAGGTAGGGCAGTCTGGCACAGGGAAAGAATGCGAGCTTTGCAGATAGCAGCCAGGTTTAGATTCTGGATCTGCTGGTTGTAGTAGCAAATTGTTTGACTTTGTTGGGCAAATTCGAATCTCTCTGATACTCTGTTTCCTCATTTTGTAAAAGGGGGATAATAAAGCTGTTTTGTTTATTGAAGATTATGTAGTTGTTTGATCTAATTTTTTTATTATGTGTTATGATGACTGACTGCCTCAAGTCATTTCTTTAAGAAGAGGTTGAAATTATTTGAAGATGCTGTCCTTTACTCATATAGATAAAGCATTTGAATGTCGAAAGCTTTTTCCCTTGAAACTTTATATACATTTTATGTGTAAACTTAAAATTTTACAATTAGAAAAGCAGTAAAACTAATTCAGAACATTTACTTAGGCACGAGACAGATGGTAATCCTATAAAAAGATGGCATATATTTTTGGATGTGCAAACAGAAAAACAGATACTCTTAAAAATTTTAGAGTAATCTTTGCCTAGAAATTGAAGGGAAGAGATAAAAGACCATATGGCCTAATAGAACTTTTTATGGTTTGTAATGTCCAGGATTGAATTTTGTTTCTTTAATATTAGTATTGATTAATAGCTTACAGATATGGACTGGTAGTTGAAAAAGGTATCATTTTCAAGTAGGTTATTGCCAAGTACTTTTGCTGTGGTTGCCAGTCTCTCATGTTTTTGGGGTATGGGCGTGATAGTGGGAAGCAGAACTATTTGAATCTCACATTTAGGAAGGTTCATCAGTTACTGGTTCTGGCAGTTGTACATCATTATGCTTGAGTAGAAGACATGCGACTAAGACAGGGAGTTCACCTAATATACGACTTCATTTATTATTTAAAAGTAACTGGTGCTTCAGATATTTTAAATTTTTTATTTTTTTACAACTTGTTCAGAAACGTAGTGCATGACAGTAGACTTATAAAAATTGCTTCTTCCTTTTGGGCACATGATATTACTGATCCCCTGATAGGCTGTCTGATCTGAGTGGTTTTTAGTAAAAATGATTCCATCTGTATACCACCCAAATCCTATCCAAAACTAAAAGGAGACATTTACCAGGTTTTCTCTCCTGTCAACTCTAACCTTGTGTACCATTATGTGACTGAAGTGTTGATACTACAATGTATCCGTTCGTACATCTGTCACTCTTACTGGATTAGGAGACGTCAGTTATTTATTAATCTGCATATTGCCACACAAGGTTGAGCCAGGCTGACTCAGCGGAGGCTGAGTAGGGGCTTAGCAAATGCAGAGTGAGTTCATGAATGGGATCAAAGCTAGAGCCAGAGTCTTTTTGCCAAGAAACTGAGTGGCGCTAAACTGCTGGTTTGGGAGGTCAGAATCTTGTTCTGGGTTTTATTAGCATTTCGCTCAAGTTCAAGCAAATCACCTTGTCAAGGCATTATACTCTGATGGCTGCAGAGAAGGCAGCACATGGCGGTGGAGGAAAGAAAACATTCCGCACAGCTTAAACAGAAGGCCTTTGTAAAGCAGTGTTGCTAGGATCACTTAACGTGGTTTATGGAACCAAGATTTCTTCCTGTGAAGTGACTTTCAGAAAGTCTTTACAGAATTGAAATCCTGTATTTCAGTGGTAGAACAATGTACAAAGAAGTTTAGAAAACGTATTTCTGGATACAGAAGTAAAAATTTGCCATGGGAAATTGCAAAAAAGTAAGAATAATTTTGGAAATATGTTTCATAATCTTCCAAATAGATCAAAATGAGACACATCTCGTTTTTATGGGTGTATTTCAGAGATGAAAGCTTTTCAGCCTGCATGCATTTGACTTCTCCCTCCTCTGTGCTTGGAGAACTTGATGGTGAATGAGCCTATTCTCAAGGAACTCCTGAGTATAGAGGAACATCTCTAGATAATTTAGCATCAATAATGAAATTCTTTTTGTTTATTTTGACGCATGCTTAAATATTAAAATATGCATAAGGTGTTGAGGAGCTGACTAGGCTTGTTTTTCCAGTTCTACGGAGCGCCTTTGCTGAGCGTCACGCTGGGACACGAGCGGGTCAGTGCTGCAGGAGTGCGGTCTAGCCTAGACTCCAGCTGGGAAGAATGTGAACACTGGCCCACACGTTAGAGATTGTACCAAAAAGCGAGGTGCCAGGGAAAAGAAAGGTAGATGCAAGCTTTTTCTTTATAAACATGATCAAATATTCAGCACATGCTCATTGTGTAGTAGGCAGTGATCTGCTCTGCTGGGTGCAACAGAAAGAAATCCCAGTCCTAACAGAGCTGACATTAAGAAAAGACTGGGGCGTTCCTGTTCAGAAGCTAAAGGATTAAAACTGACTAAAATAAAACTTTGGTGGAAATATTTTTTAATATGACTCTTTCTTTTTTTTTAGAAAATGGCTCCAAAGGTTAAATGAAGCAGGAAAAATACATAGATGCAGCCTTGCAGGCTCTCCAGATGTTTGGGGATAATATTCCAGGAAGAAATTTTGATCCCTTGGATTAGGTAACTAGTCATAATGAAGAAAATTAGTCTTAAAACCTTCCGGAAATCTTTTAACTTGAATAAAAGTAAAGAAGAAACTGATTTCATGGTAGTACAACCACCATCGCTAGCCGGTGACTTTGGAAAAGATGATTCCTTGTTTGGTAGCTGCTACGGTAAAGATATGGCCAGCTGCGATATCAACAGTGAAGATGAAAAAGGCGGAAAAAACAGATCAAAAAGCGAGAGCCTGATGGGAACGCTAAAAAGGCGGCTTTCTGCAAAACAGAAAAAAGGCAAGGCAGGCACACCCTCTGGGAGCTGTGCCGACGAGGACACCTTCTCCTCCTCCTCAGCACCCATCGTCTTTAAAGACGTGAGAGCTCAGAGGCCGATACGGTCCACCTCCCTCCGCAGCCATCACTACAGCCCCACGCCGTGGCCTCTTCGGCCCACAAACTCCGAGGAGACCTGCATCAAGATGGAGGTGAGAGTCAAGGCCTTGGTTCACTCTTCCAGCCCGAGTCCAGCCCTGAACGGCGTCCGGAAGGATTTCCACGACCTCCAGCCTGAGACCGCGTGCCAAGAGCAAGCCAATTCACTGAAGAGCTCGGCTTCACAGAACGGAGACCTGCATCTTCACCTGGATGAACATGTGCCTGTCGTTATTGGACTTATGCCTCAGGACTACATTCAGTATACTGTGCCTTTAGATGAGGGGATGTATCCTTTGGAAGGATCACGTAGCTATTGTCTGGACAGTTCTTCTCCCATGGAAGTCTCTGCGGTTCCTCCTCAAGTGGGAGGGCGCTCTTTCCCGGAAGACGAGAGTCAGGTAGACCAGGACCTCGTTGTTGCCCCAGAGATCTTTGTGGATCAGTCGGTGAATGGCTTGTTGATTGGCACCACGGGAGTCATGTTGCAGAGCCCGAGGGCGGGTCACGATGATGTCCCTCCACTCTCACCATTGCTACCTCCAATGCAGAATAATCAAATCCAAAGGAACTTCAGTGGACTCCCTGGCACAGAGGCCCACGTGGCTGAAAGTATGCGCTGTCATTTGAATTTTGATCCTAACTCTGCTCCTGGGGTTGCAAGAGTTTATGACTCAGTGCAAAGTAGTGGTCCCATGGTTGTGACAAGCCTTACAGAGGAGCTGAAAAAACTTGCAAAACAAGGATGGTACTGGGGACCAATCACACGTTGGGAGGCAGAAGGGAAGCTAGCAAACGTGCCAGATGGTTCTTTTCTTGTCCGGGACAGTTCTGACGACCGTTATCTTTTAAGCTTGAGCTTTCGCTCCCATGGTAAAACACTTCACACTAGAATTGAGCACTCAAACGGTAGGTTTAGCTTTTATGAACAGCCAGATGTGGAAGGACACACATCCATAGTTGATCTAATTGAGCATTCAATCAGGGACTCTGAAAATGGAGCTTTTTGTTATTCAAGGTCTCGGCTGCCTGGATCTGCAACTTACCCCGTCAGACTGACCAACCCAGTGTCCCGGTTCATGCAGGTGCGCTCGCTGCAGTACCTGTGTCGCTTTGTTATACGTCAGTATACCAGGATAGACTTAATTCAGAAACTGCCTTTGCCAAACAAAATGAAGGATTATTTACAGGAGAAGCACTACTGAAAGATTGAGAACCCTGCATCTTGCACTTTGGGAATAAGGAAAAGAGATTGAAATACAGTTTACAGACTTTCATTGCCATCAAAATCTTTTGCTGCCATAACTATTTGTTTTATGTGTAAAAGAGTCATCAGTTTGTTTAGGGGTGGGGAAGTGTCAGCAAGGTGTCTTGGGTTTCATTTGGTTCTTTAAAAAGGGAAGTCTTGAGGTTTTAGAGGTGTGAATTATCTTTCATCAATGTGCAGAATAATCACAATGTGAATTATCAAATTCTCCTCAATGCCCCCCGCCCAGTCCTTTGCTGCTATCCACTGTGATTTTTATGCATTAAAAGCACATTTCATGTGTATTCAACCTTAAGTAAAGTCGAATGAAACTTACAGAATGGAAATTGCTATGTCTTTTTAAATGGCCCATTTTCAAAAGATAATGTTGAATAAACATACCTGTGTGATGTGATAAAACACAGAATTTACGTATACACTGAAGATGAGTTTTTAATTTCTTTAAAAAGATTTATTTAGAATCATGAATTGACATAATCTTGGGTAATGGAACGGAGATCTACAACATATAACAACAGCATAATTTTTTCTAAATTATTTCTGAGGTTGTGCTAAGTTTTTTGGTTGTGAAAAGTTGAATTTTTCTGTTGCCTTTATTTTCATCTTATAGTTTGTCTATTTTAATAAATGGCCTTACATTAAAAAATTGTAAAGAAATGTATACCACCCATTTAGGAATTGTTGCCTTTTCTGTAATTAAACTCGGGTACAAATTGGCATAACACGAAAACCTATGGAACTAGAATTATTATTAAAGAAATATTAGATGATCATAGTTTCCTGTGATAGCATTTTTGGTGCGTGTTACCTTTACTTTCTTTTGGTAAAATGTTTTATCTGTGATTTCTTTAGCTTAGTCAACATTTTCTTGGGTGAATTTGATTGTCAACTAATTTTCATAAATGGACTGGATTCCCTTGCAGCATTAATGTTTATAAAAAGTTTTAAATTGATTTGAATAGAAAGAAAACTTTGTTTTAAAGTTGGATTTATATTTTTCTTCTATGTAGTTACTATAAAAGTGTGCTGGATTTTGACCATTCCTTACCCCCACTATAAAGAGAACCCTTGATGACTTTAAAAATTGGGGAAATTGTGGAGCAATTTTTCTAACAACGTGAGAAAAACATTAAAACCATATTAGATAATGTGAAAGTCATATTGTCTATCATATATACTGCCATTTAAAATAGGTTTTTAAAATTTAGCTAAATCTTCACTAATTTGCCATGCTAATAATTTTATATCCTTGAGTCTGTTGTTGAGGAGGGATGTTATATTCAGTAATTTTTAGTTATTTTGAAACACAGAGTGTTTATTCATTTAACAGTTCTGCAATGGATGTAGTATTTCGGGGTTGCCCTGTCCAGAAAATTTTCAGTTATACAGCTTTAAAGGAAAATGTTTCTATCTCAGATGAAACATGTAATTTGGGATGGTTCTTCCTTTGTCGCTTAAAGGAAGAGATAGGAAAAGTCTCTTACCACTTTAAACATGAGGGTAAAGGTTTAGGTCATACTTTCTGGCTTTGTCATTCAAACATATCTGAATCCTCACTTTTTTCTCTTTGTTTTTTAGGGTCAGAACTGAGATATTACCAAGAAAAGGCACAATGCCATAGTATTATGGTGTTATGGTATTTTGACTTAAAGGGGAAAAGGTACTTAATTTTGGTGGGATGTTAATTGTACCTTATTACAAAGACTCATTCATTTTCTGATATGTTTTCTCTTAATAAGATGGAATATGGAGTAATACTGTAATAATATAATTTAAGTGTTCATTATAAGCTATTTGGATTAAGAACTATTACAGAGTTGTAAGCTTGTTATCAAATTAATGCAAGACATTTAAACTATTTTTTTGCAAAACTATTTATTTTTAAAACAACTTAAAATATATCTAGGGTGAGTTAAAAGTCCCTGTGCATCTATATTAGATGGCAGGTTTTGTCACAGAGTCACTGTGTATTAATAATAGGTGTTGAAATGGCTTCTCCGTGTCTCCAGAAGCATTTACATGTCCTCCTTGTGAGATCATGGTGCACAGAGGTCTTTGGACTGCCCTGAACCCGTCTTATGTGGACATAACCTATTCCCTGTGTTTTCTCATCATGCCGTGTGTTTATGATCTACCCGTTTAGTGTCAAGATTATTCAGATTTTCATCTAAATGTTTTTTAAAATTGTATTTTGTGTTTAGTGGAGGACAGTCTTGATACTGTTCTAATTCAGAAAGCCAAATTTTGATGTGCTTTTGTACATTCATAATATATACTTTAATATGCCCTATTCTAATCTAGTTTGAAATTGTTAGATTCTGATAAAGTCAGACTATTTGCCAAAAAGTTAAATTTGCAAGCAGAAAGACGTTTTGTGACATTTTCTACTTTTGTGTGGAAAGATAACCGTTTGTGGAACAGAATGTGGAAGACTGGCTTTCTATGATACGAACACAGTCCGGTTAAAAGTGGAAACAGGGAAAAGAGAGAGAGAAAACTCATCATGTAGTTTGGTCTAGATACAATTTGGTTAAATTTTAGTATTCTATTGGCAGGTAACTTAGATGACATGAACACAGCCTATGATTGCTTTTTAAATACGTGCTTCTAAAAATCTGAGCTCAAGGCAAGGAAAAGAAAACAGGAAAGCTGTATCCATTTGCCATAATAGGTGAATCAGAATTGTTTTCTATTCAGTATTTCATCACGAAACATGATGGAGGCCAGAAGCTACTTTTAGGCTTACTATAACACTATTGTGCGTTTTTATAAATAATAAGAAGGCTGTAGAAAGTACTTGAAAAATATCTCATTCTTTTCTCTTTCTGTATAAGGAAAACTCTACTTGGTGCAATAATCTGAAAATTTAGAAGGTCAGAATATATCACAGGAAATGATCATAGAACTAAAAATAGTTTTTAAGGAAACCAGCTACACAGGACAACCATCTTGCTATTGAAGAAAATCAAGTTCCAAAAGGCTAAATCATTTGCGTAAAGGAAACAGAACCCAAAGTATACGTTGTAATTTTTGAGTCAGTATTACTGAAACAGGATAAAAGTTACTAAAATCTTATATAGGTTAATGCAATGTCTCTGCTAGTGCTACAAGTCTAAAATATCTTTGTAACAATGCTTTCAGAAATGCCAATTTTAATTACTGTACATTTCACATTGTATATGAGAGATACTGCTTTATGAATGATTCAGAATAATACACTTTCATTTAAATCTTAATTGCTTTTCATCAAACGTGAAGTCTTAATTTCAAAATGAAATCACACTACCAGCAATAGACAGTTTTGTTAAATACTTTAATAAGGAGCAATAGCCAGTTCCGCAAATAACTTTAAAATTCTAAAAGTGTTGGTACACTAGCAATCACAAATTTGGTTTCTTTTAATACTTTTTTAATCCTGTAAAGAAGGTTTTTTATAAACATTCTTTTTATTAATGAATCATAACATGGCAAAGTGTGTAGTTGCTGTTTCTGAAAAGTGATCCAAACTCTACATCCAGAGATTATGAAAAATTCTTATAGAATTTTGTAGTAAGTATACATGTTGGGTTAAAGAAATTTCATAGTTGTTGGAGTGCCATGAAATTAATACTTGCAATTCAGATTGCTGTAGTTTACACTTTTTCTGTATGTTTCAAATCAGGTGTGTACCATTTGTACTGAGAACACCACAGAATGAATTATCCAAAGTCCATTGATTTTAATATGTGTTTTGGTTTGTAAACAAATTATAGTAATTTCTTGCACATTTTTGGAAATTAATTGTATAAGAATTTATGTATCTGCTTCTAGATACAGTGTGTAAATAAAAATTTTGTTCACAAGACCTGCCTTGTAGTCTATTTAACACCCTGATGCAGGACCTGATTTTAATTAGTACAGGGTTAACTAGATAATTTCTGGGTGTCCCAGGACCTGTGCAGGGGCTGGAGGCTGAGAACCATCAAAGTTTAGTAAAAACTGGAAAGCAGAATCATGTCACTAATGGAAGATGTCAGCCAGTGGTGGTGCTCATCTACATAAAAGCCTTCCACGTGAAGGCTGGAGTGAGTTGGGAGAACATCTACTAAGCAAAAAGACTAAATTAAAACCGACACAGTAATGAAACCTCACTGAAAGAAGGCTAGTCTAAATGATACAGTGTTTGGGTTTTGACATATTAAAAAGCATGTCACTATTAATATTTCATGGAAATAGAACCAGGTCATTAAAGTTTATGTAGGGGTCATTTAGAAATCTTTTCATAGGTAAGAGTTCTCATTATATCCACTGTATTTAATTATTTCTTTCAGAGTTCTTAAACATACGGAATTAAACATCGACTTCAGAGTTTTGTTTGAATACTTTGTAAACAAATTCTTTTTCGAAAAAAACATCGCTAATTCAAAGAAGAATTTTAACCTGATCTTGTTCAGAATGTATCACAAATTTTCACTTGAGTGGAATCCAAGTAATGGGGGCTCTAAACCCATTTTCCAGAGTTGGTATCAGTTAACTGACAGCACTGATGTTCACGTTATACGTTGCTGATGATGGTGCTAACGAAATATTAGATTATGAGATTATTGTGGGGTAAGAATTGTATAAAAAACCAGACTTTACAAGGGTACATCATCACCAGGCAAACAGGCTTTTCCTTTTTTTAAATAAAACGAGTGTTTCATATTCATCTGCCTCTTCTCTAAGCTCATTCATTTAACAAGATGGAGAAACAGGGAAGTTTGTTGAGGCCAAGCTGTGTTCCTTGTAGGTGCTCGTGGTCCTGTAAGGCCACCTGTGAGGAGGGTGAGAGCAGGCAGGTGCTCTCAGAAGTTGAAAGACCTGCTGCTAGGCTGCCAGGTAACACGGAAGATACTGGGCCTGCGTCCGAACTTCCGTAATAGTAATGACTTTGCTATAGCCAATTTTTTTTTTTACTCCCACTTTCAAATTTTTACCTTTTTTTTTTAAGCCTCAGATTTTACTTCTGCTTTTCCTAGGCTTTCAACTTTCTGGATCAAAAATAGTTTAACCTTTATTTCTGTTCAATGTAGCTTTCATGTCTGCTGTTTTGGCCTAGTGGCTTTTCTTCTTTCAAATCTTCAGCTTCATTTTCAATTCATTGTTTTTTTTCAATGGTTGTTTAATTCTTATAACTTTTTTTGTATTTCAGTTTCTAGTTTTAGGGTTACCTAACCTTTTGAATCCTGTTTTTAGCAAAATGTGACTCTTTTCTTCCCTTTGCATATGGCTGCGGCTCTAGCCAGGCTCTCCCTCGTGCTGAAATTTTCCAGGACAGTTTCCCTAGACCTTCACCTGTGAGACCCTGTGGTTCCATAGGTCTCTGTGTTCCTTTATGGAGATAGCAGAGTTGATGGAATAGAAGTATTGGTTTTTGACATGACATAATTCAGCCCTAGCAGGAAGACCAGTCATGAACCCCAAGAAACCAGTGGATTTGAGAGTGAAAAGTACCTTTTGCTTGTTAAGATTTGATTGCAGAAGTCAAATCCAGAGACCCTGGGAGCGCCCCAGGCCTGATGCTGGCGAAGAACCAATAGTAGTGAATATCTGGGCAGGCATTTATCCCACAGCACAGCTGAGTTTTGTAGTCAGATTCCTGCAGCTACTTTAGTACCAGCCTCCATCCTTCCCTCCTTAATACCAGGCAGCCTCACCACCACTTCTGGACGAGTCAGGAAGGAAAGGCTCCCTCACATAGTAAGAGCCGAGCAGAGCCTACATCAGGGTTTATGAATAGGGCCAGTTGTCTTGCCTGGAGGTAATTTTGGGCTGTCATATCCTGTCCTTGGTTAACTTTGGCTTACAAACAGGGTAAATATTAAATTGAAAAGGAAGACTCACTTCTTAATCACAAGCAATGGATTTCCCCACACCAAGAAAGCCCTTGGAAGCACAGATACACATATGAGGGTTTTTTCTGGATCTCTTACTTGGTTTGATGGGTCTAATATGGTGGCATCCAGGGACACTAGGATTTGATTACCTAGCCTAGGTCACGAGGTGAATATACAGTCATCCCTGTGTATCTGCAGGGGATTGGTTCTAGAATGACCTTCTGCCCTCCACCCCCTTCCCCATCACCTGTGGATCCAAAAATCTACTGATGTTAAAGCCCCTGAAAATCAGGCCTCTACCTCTGTGGATTCAAACCAGCAGATACAGAGGGTCAATAGTAATAAATGCTTTGCCTTCCCCAAAGTAAAGGATAAGGAAGTATGAACAGTAATGGCTGCCTGTGGGCTGCATACTTGCTTTGCATAACAGTGGCTTGAGTAATCATGACTTAGCCACTCAAGCAGAGTCAATGAAAATTACTGCATTTGTTCATCTGTCTTTATTCAGTCTTTCCCATCCCACCCAACCAGACACTCAATACTCATTCTCCAAGGGTAATTCAGGCCTTATCTCACAGTATCTTTTCTCATTATCTCAAATAAAATTGATTAACCTCTCCTCCTTGAAAGTCTCATAAGCCTTAGAAGAAAGAACAAGAAAGGAAGGGAGGAGATAGAACCTATTTTACAGTCTTGCTGAAAATGAATATGTTCAAAGATCATTTTAATTTTAAAGATGACAGAATGGCGCATGACACTGTTCAGCTTTTTCTTTTTCACACCCCATCAAAACTTGCAGCGTTTACACAATGTTGCTATGCTTCATATATGCTTCTCCAAATTTTCTAATAGAGACTCTTAAGCTATCACATAATTCTAAATCAACAAAACTTATGCAAAAGGGGTGAGCTAGCAACGTGCAACGTAATACCCACTCGGTGCATCCGTTTTTTGCGTCATTTTGTTAAACAGGATTTTAGAGTTTCCCTGTGAATATGAGATTATGAAATCTAATTGAAGATATCAGTGTAACAATAAGAAGTACCTTTATTCAAAACTGGCAGATTTGTTAGATGATTGTCTCAGTTTCAGGTTTCTGCATCTGAAAAACTTGGATATGGTCCTCTAGGATTCCTACACGTAGGGAGCTGGAAAAGGTGACTGTTGAGTCTTTCTAACTTGAAATTTCTAATGTAGTTTCTAAGACAAAACCTAAATAAAGAAAAATAATAAAAGATTTGAAGAAAAAAACCTAGAAGGTAAAAAAATTCAAACTTGCAACATGGTTGCAACAGGCTGAGTCCGCAATGAGCCCATCGGTTTGGTATGCCCATTTCATTTAAGTTCCTGGGACAAGAGCCTTGGAGTCATGATGTAACCCGGCAGTGCATGTAGCATTTCTCCAGCTCTGTGTAAATGCACCATTGACTTGTTGCTTATGACACCATCAAGAGGATTCCTACAGACCCAGCCAGACAGCTGGGTTGGGCACAGCCCAGAATGGGCCACCCATTAACTCAGAAGCTGTTTTTCAACCTTGAGTTCAAATTGTTTCCAGGTTTAGTCAGGGCTGAGGGGCCCTGGTTCTAAAGAGAAAAGCCAAGGTTCTCAAACAATGTAGCAGGGAAACACAGCAGTTCCAAGATGAATCCCAGACCCCTTCGACTAGCCAGTGAATTTTGTCCTTCTCAAGCTCACTTTCTCATTCAAATGGACTGAATGTTTAGGTCCTTCCAAAATTCAAAAGATGAAATCCTCATCTCTAAGGCGATGGTATCAGGAGATGGGGTCTTTGAGAGGTAATTAGGCTGTGAGGGCTTTGCTGTCATGAATGGGATTAGCACTCTTATCAAAGAGGCCCCAGAGAGTTCATTGGCCACTGGAGAAGGTGCCATCTATGAAGCAAGAAATGGGCCCTCAATGGTCACCAGATTGGATCTTGGACTTCCCAGCCTCCAGAACCATTAGAAAGAAATTTCTGTTGTTTATAAGCTACCCAGGGTATGGCCTTGGGTTACAGCAGCCCAAAGACACAAATCTTTACTTACTCCCATACCCCAAAATAGAAATATGTGTAAAATTGGGCCCGTAAAATAAAGCAAACTACACTGCTTCTCAAAGGTGAATGAGTAAGGTTACTATTACTAATTGGAAAAAGAAAATAATATGGTAGATCAGTTTTTGATATCTGATCATTTTAACTTACATTTACTATGGCAATAGATGTTGAAAGTAATGACTGGCCGGGCTCAGTGGCTCATGCCTATAATCCTAGCACTTTGGGAGGCCGAGGTGGCTGGATCATGAGGTCAGGAGTTCAAGACCAGCCTGACCAATATGGTGAAACCCCATCTCTACTAAAAATACAAAAATTTGGTGTGGTGGCACATGCCCACAGTCGTACTACTTGGGAGGCTGAGACAGGAGAATCACTTGAACCTGGGAGGTGGAGGTTGCAGTGAGCCAAGATCACACCACTGCACTCCAGCCTGGCAACAGAGGGAGACTCCATCTCAAAAAAAGAAAAAGAAAGTGATGACTAACAAATGAAATCATAGACACCATACTTTGACAATGATGGGTGTGGTGTACACTGATGATTGCTGAGGGAACATCACGTTTCTATTTCATCTTCATTAAGAAAAGCTTAATTTTTATAGGAATGGCAGTGTGCCCAGTGAAAAAACTGCAGTCACCAGACTCTCTTGCAGCTAAAAGTGGTTGTGAGGCGCAGTTCAGGCAAGAAATACATTTACTGGGGTTTCTGGAAATGTTCCACTTCCTGCTATAGCCACTCACCTCCTTTCTTCACCTTTCATCTTCTTCACTCCTGGCTTGCTAATGTGACTCTCGGATGCTTGGCAGGTACACATGCAGGACAGAAAAGCTGAAAGGTCAAATGAGCTGGCCCTGGAGCAGCTCCTCTGGGCCCTGGAATGAATACCTTCATAGTGTTTGCAAGACAAATAAGCCTCTTATTTGTTTAAGC